ACCACTCTACCAACAGTTGGCTGAATGGCCCACTAACTGTCGGTGGTTCATTTGCTGTTGGTTGCTTGTGGGCGGGGCCCAACTGCCGCAATGGGTGAGCAGGACTCCCCACCAATGGCTGAGCAGGACCACTAATGGACCTGCCCCCATAACCGTTGCCTGGCAACGGGGCACAGGTTAAGCCACACACAATAATGGCTGCGCTCTGTTCAAAAAAGTCTCATCTTGATAGCCCTTGTCACACTGGCCAGGGATGGGCTCAGTCAAACTGTAACAGAGCAGGATGAGCACAGCCCTTGGCAGGCAGCCATTGCTGGGCCTCATTACTCTGCATCCTGTTACTAGGCAACAGGTCCTGCTCAGCCATTGCTGGTGCCTCAGAGGGCCCCGCCCACAAGCCTCCAACTGTCAGTGAGCCACCATTATTTGGCCTGCTCAGCTATTGGTTACCTGCCACTGGTAACTGTTGGCAAGGGACCACAGGGGAAGTGATTCAGTCAAGGGTCAGTGGTGTGGTGGTCATCACGTGGAGAGTGAACTAAGAGGGAGATTCAGGCTTTCTCCTGGAGGCCCTTCAGCTTACCCATCCTTGTTGGGCCAGCGGGTGAGCTGGAAGGCCCAGGGAACAGACTGGGGACTGTGTCCTGAGGGGCTCCAGAGCCCTTACTAAGGCCCTCCATCAGTCTCATCCCAGGCCTTGAGGCAGTGGTGAACCTCTCCCCCACCCGTCTCTGTGACCAGACCATCTGTCTGGTCATAGTCTATGAGACCTGGTCTCCCCCTTTGGGCTGCCTGAGGAGACTGGGGGCCAGTTGGGTTGAATGCCTGGCTCCATCAGGGATGACAGCTGGGTAGGGTGTGGAACCTGGCCCTGAAGGAGCTGCCAACTAGGATCTGCCTTCTCTTAGCCAGGACTGGGACCTGGGAGGGTGAAAATTGTACCTTGGGGCTTTACCCTTTCTTGTCAGGACAGAGAATAGCATTCATCTGGTAGAGGTTTATAGGAACATCGTTACCTGACCATGACCAGACCTCCAGAACAAAGGATCTGACACCGAGAAGTCTGCAACTAACCACACCCTTCCCTCACCTTTTGCTTTTAAGGGGACTTACTGAAAGCTTTCAGTAATTTTGGGGTTCTTAGGGCAAGGAGCCACCTATCTCCTTGTACAAATCTGTAATAAATCTCTGTTCCAAACTATAATGTTTAGTATTGATGGGCTTCACTGTGTGTCTGGCACATGGGCTTGTGAATCTGGTAACAAAACCAGAGGCTGAGACACTAGCCCCAAGTCCTCTATGACAGAGACCCCTCCTGCAGCAATAGGAGGGACACCCTGGTGATTTGCATAAAAGAGTGAGCAGACACCCAAATACAACCTGATAGGAATCAGAGTTGAGACCTAGAAGAGTCTTACAGGACCCTCACACAGCTAGAGGCAAAACTGCTGACAGAAGGAAGCCAAGGGCCTGGACTGGAGTGGAAATCACCTCCCCAGACAACATCATTGACCTTAACTTAGGAAGGGGATGTGAATGGGGTTATGATCTCCCTGACATGGTCAGTTAGAGGAAAAGTGAAAGTGTCACTCATGTGACATGTGAAGAGTCATGTCGGACTCTTCACAACGCCATGGACTGCAGCCCCATAGGGCCCTCTGTCCATGGGATTCTCTAGGTGAGAATACTGGAGTGGGTTGCCGTTTCCTTCTCCAGGGGCTCTCCCAGACCTGGGGGTCAAACCTGGGTTTCCCCGCATGGCAGGCAGATCTTTACCGCCTAAGCCACAGGGAAGCCCTCAGAGGGGTGACAGCTAAAAGAGAGATCCAGGGAGGGTCCTGGAGCATCTCTGGAGTGAGGACAGTCAGGTCACCCGCCCCACACCCCGATCCTGAGCAGGATCCCAGAATGTCAGGGCTGGCGGGAACCTTGAAAATCTGGTCGTCTACAGGTAAGCAAACCGGGGCCGAGAAAGAAGGGATTTTTATCCTGTGAGCTCAGACACCCTGCACGCCCTTCAGCCTCAAGTGCTGTTTACCTCCCCTTCCTCTACCTAGGCTATAGCTCAGATGGTAAACAATCCTCCTGCAAAGAGAGACCCAGGTTCGATCCATGCGTCGAGAAGATCCCCTGCAGAAGAAAATGGCAACCCACTCCAGTATTCTTGCCTAGAGCATCCCATGCACGGAGGACCCCAGTGGGCTACAGTCCATGGGGGTCGTTAAGAGTCAGACAGAACTGTGCGACTGACACTGACCAGGCTGAACCTCTCCAACTCCAGGAGGGCGGGGTGCGGGCAGGATATGGTCTGCAAGGGCCGCCCTCACGGAAGCTGGGCCACGTCGGCTATGACCCAACACTGTGGGGCCAGGCCAGGGAGTTGCCGCCTTCACTGCGGACGCCCCACGCAGGCCGGCCCTTGGGCTCGCCGGTTGGCGGGATGCAGGAGGCACGCGGGAACACAAGAACCTCCTGGAAGGACAGCAAGTGAATCAACTGAGCGCGTCGAAGGCCGCCCCAAGGCCTGCGAGCAGGGTCCCACCCTTTCGCCAGAGGCAGCTTCCCATTGGCCAGAGCAGGAAACTCCACCCCCCATCCCCTCCCCCCCCCACCAGCAAGCCCAGCAGCCCAGCACCCACCCCCATTGACCGGCCCGGAGGCCCCACCCCTTGGCGTAAGCCCTAATACTGCCCCAGGGTCCTCCTAAGCAGACCACTCTAGTGAGGGGCGGAGTCTTCCCACACCAACGCTGACTCCCGGAGAACAGGAACCAGATCTCGTGCACTCATCGAGTCCAGCGTATTTACTGAGCAATGATGCGGCCAAGGTTCCGCCACCGTCATAGTTCTTAAGGGCCTTTAACACCAGAACCCCAACTTCTGCTTTATGAACGAGGCACCCGAGACCCAGAGCTGGAGTCTGGGGTCAAACCAGGTTCCATCCTGCCAGGTCACGCAGCCTCCATTGATTCATTTTAGTGTAAAGAAAGGTCCTTTGAACACCTATTGAGTGCCATGCAAACTTGCAGGGCCTAGCCTGGAGCCTGGAACACTGAGTGCTTTGGAAGGGGGAGCACCAGTGCACAGTGATCGCGCCTTCGGTCTCTGTATTTACATAGGGCATTAAGCATTAAAAAGGCCTAGAAGCTCTGAGCCCTGAGGCATCCCCAAGGAAACACCTGAGACTAGCTCTGCAGCTGAGGGTTAAGCTCTCATCAACTACACTAGCACCACATCCTGTCTGCACACTTGCTGACAGCCCAGTCCTGACTGTGGGGCCTCTGGCAAGGGCTGGAGGATGCAAGAACAAACAGAATCTATGGCAGGCCTGGCTGAGCTGTCATTGACGTGTATACTCTGCCCCAGAAATGAAAGCAGTGTTTCCATCTGCCCCCTCTCTGCTCAGGACTTTAGGAGAGGTAAGGAGGGTCAGGGCGAGGCAACAGAAGTGGCAGAGCCAGGGACCCAGGCACCTGGAGGCAGGCTTGAACCCTGGACAATCCACACAGCGCCAGACAGATAAGACAACAACCGGAACAGCTGAGGACCTGACTGCAGCTTCGAGGTCAGCCAAACCAAAGGCTGGCCCCTAGGCAGCACCCAAAGTGCTATGATTGGAGAGCGCAATAAGCCAGCTGCCATCAGGGCATCTCCTTGAGGCCCGATGCTATTGTCCGAACTGCCCACCTGAACCTCTTTGCTTTGGTAAGAGTTTTGTTCCACTGAGATACTGAGGGCTCCTGCAGGATATGGCCCAAAGGGAGTCTCATCTCACTCTGCACCTGAAGGATCTTCCACTCGCTCTGGGAAATAAAGTTCCTTCTTGAGTGATTCTGAGTGGAAAAAGACCTGGAGATGAAGGGGGCCCTGAAGGTGAAAGGAAGGTCAAAAATCGGCTTCCTATGGTTCCGTTGCCTCCAAATCTATTATGACCGTGACCACTCTAATGTGGAGGAGGATGCACTTGGGTCATAAGATGTGAGGCTGGTGGTGGCTAAAAGATTCACCTAGATCTCCTGGCCTAACTCTGCCATGAGCCCCAGGTTCTAGAACACACTACGTCCTCTAATGTGACATCAGGCCTGGCAATCCCACAGTCCACTCTGGCTCACCAGCCTCACTCTGAGTAGGACCTTCCGTAGGAGAAAGACTTCCTGGGCCCATGGTGCACCTGACTCCCACCGCCCACCTCCAGGTGAGGTCCATGGAGCATGCACACCCAAGAATACTGAGACCCTGGGGGAAATGTCATCCACTCCAGGCTTCAGTTCCCCCCCAATCTCAGCTGATTACCAGAGTTAATCATGGATGCAAACACCCACTGGGGAAAGAACAGGAATTACTGGGAATCACTCTGGGCCAAGCACACACATCTAGGAAGACAACTGGTTTCCAGGGCAGCAGCTGCGGCACCACCATCAGCCGGCATCCCCAGGCTGGCCTGGACAGCACCTCTGCCATTCCCACACAAGGAGGCAGCAGGGCAATTCCTGTCCCTCGGGAGATCTTGGTCCCCTTCACAACCACACACAGTAATTACAAAAGCGCTCAGAAAAACTGTTTTTTAAAAAAGCTTCAAAATAACAGTAACAAATTCAAATTTCTAGAGCCTCTTCAGGCTTTCTGTCCACTCTGCTGTTTCTCTTGTTGACGGAGAAACCCCAGGCCCTCAATGTGCCTATCACCCTGGCTCTCTTGTCCATCCATGCTACCGGTCAAAGGCCCCCAACCGAAGCGCGGACTCCCCTAAGCCTTAATGGAGACGTTATAAGTCAGGAATGTAGAAAAGGCAGCAAAAAGTGACAACCTTAGGGAACTAAAGCATCTGGTCACCCCATACAGTCTGTCACCATAAAGGCCACCGCTTCCCATTTGAATAAAAGGGGTAAAAAAGTCTCCCCAGAGCCATCCCGTAAGAAGGAACCAGCGTCAGGCACGAGTGGAAATGCTCCGCAGGGGCGGGGAGAGAGAAGGTCCTGCCCAGGATGTCCGCATGCCTGGTCAGCCCTCCTCCAAGTGGCTGGGCCGGGGCCGCGGCGGGCTCCCCAGGAGCGCGGGGGGCCCGGGACAGGGCGGGCCCACCTGGCCCCGGGCGTGCGTCTGCATGTGCACCGCCAGGTGGTGGTTGCGGTTGAAGGCCCGGCCGCACTGGGAACACCGGTAGGGCCGCTCGCCGGTGTGGATGCGCTGGTGCCGGAAGAGGTCGGAGGGCCGGCGGAAGGCCTTGCCGCAGTAGGGGCAGGCGGGCCAGCCCTGACTGTTGCCCGTGTGCAGGCGCTGGTGCAGCAGCAAGCTCTTCCGCTGCTGGAAGAAGCGCAGGCACTCGCTGCAGTGGTACACCTTGGCGGCCGCCGGCCTCCGCCCCGCGAAAGGCCGCCGGCTCTCGCGCTCGGGGAGCCAGCGGATGACTGGGCCGGGCACCACCACCTCCCCCGGCTCCAATGTCGAGTGCGCGTCCCCCCACCCGGTGGGCGAGCCACCCTGGGCCTCCCGGTGCTCCTCTTCCACATGGCTCCGCTGATGAATGGTCAGGTTGATCTTTAGGCGGAAGCTCTGGCCGCAGTCAGGGCAGGGGAAGGCCCGCTCTCGACGACGCGGGAGGACGCGGGGCGGCTGGGCCCCGGCCCCCGTGGGCCGGGGGTCCCCTGCCCGCGCCCGGGGGACGCCCCCCGCGTGAAGCTGGCCAGAACCCCCGGTCCTGCTCCTGGGCCCTTTGGGGATTCCACACGCGGCCCGGCTCGGGGATGCCCCGGGGAAGGGCGGCTCCAGCGTCATCTCGTCCTCGTCCTCGGATGGTGCTTCTGTCTTGATGACCACAGCGCCGCCCCCTAGCAAATGGAGTCTGCGTTGATTTCGGGGCGGGCCACACCCAGTCCCCCACCGGGCCCCCTGACACCCAAGCCGGGCTCCAGACACACCAGCCCGGCCCACACCGCCTTCCCTGAGCCCCTGCTCCAGAGTGTTCACGCCTGGGGCAGGGAAACCACGCTGCAAAACCAGGAGCCAGGGCCAGGGGTCAGACCAGAGGACACAGATGGGTGGAAAATGAAGAGCGACACAAAGGCCCTTATCCTCAACCCTGAGACGCTCTGGCCTCGCGGGACCCTCCAAAGTTCTGAGGACTTTAGCTCTGATCTATGACAATGAGCCCTGCAGGCCCTCACGGCCTCCACACTGTAAGAGCCTTCATGCCTGGAGCTAGTGGGCGACTCGGCCGGCCCAGAGCTACTGGGCCACATGACAAATCCACACCAAGCGTCCACCACCTGCCCCGCCCACGCTCTCAGGTGACAGAAAGCAGGCACGTGGCTTGGGCTTCTCAGCTGGGCCTCAGTGTGGGTCCCACCTGACTCTGAGGTGGGACTGAGGCAGCGATGGGTGGTCTCAGCACCAGCTCGCAGGGGTCCCCATGGCCGGGGAGGCAGGCCCTGGCCTCAGCCCTGCCTGGAGCCCTGCGTTCACCCACATCCTCCAACTGCTGCTCCTCTGGCTTCCTCTGGAGCCAGCCCCCAAACACACTCTTCTCTGACTGCCCCCCCCACCCCCAGACCAGCATCCGCCAGCCTTAGCTGCCAGACCACACAGTCGGCTCCATGGTGACAGCGAACCCTGCTGCTGAGAACGAACCTGCTCATAACCCCTGCTTATGAGAACGAAAACCTCCACCCTCAACGGGCAACTTCCAAGTTTCAGGACAGGAGTGATTTCCATTGTCACTGAAGCCTGAGTTTAAACCACAAGCTGGGAGGCCACTGAGGATGAGAGCTGTTAACTGGTGAGCCCCCAGCAAGACTGTGGGTTCTCTGCTCAGGGCTCACCTAGGAGTCCTCACAGATAACTCATGGCAGAACCTCATTTCTACGTTAGAAATGACCCTCTGTTTTTAACTTACTCCTCCAGCTACAGAATCATTAAGAGCCTAAGAATCATCTAAACTTTGAGGTAAAAAACCTTGTTGCACTGAATAGGCTGCCACGGTATCCTCGCGCTTAGGAACTAGTGAGGGTCTCAGGCCCTCTTCTTTGAAGAGGCAAGGCTCCCAGGTCTCTTCATCTGAAGCCACCCACAACCCCAAGGGATACCCAGATCACACATGTGCCTCCCCCAAAGCTGGAACCAGGGTGGAATGGGGGCAGGCTAGATCCATTTCTATTGGGCCAGTATAGGCAATAATCGCTTTACTTTTTCCTGCTTATCAGGGTGTAAGGCCAGTTTACTGAATACGCACAGACTCTCAGCAGGAAGAACTAATTTCAGTCACAGGCCACCACACTCAAACTGTAAGACGTGAGAGGCAGTGTGGCTGGGCTGTGTCACAGGGCGGCCATGAGGCGGCCTCTGCCACCAGACCGCCCCCTGGCAGCTCACGGCTTGTCTGCAAGCAGCACCTTCCCAGCCAGAGCAGATAGCGATGGGGAAGAACTGGACCACAGGTGACCGGGGTCCTCAACACCCCAGGAAGTAATACTTGGGGGTGAGGGGGGCACCCTCGGGAGGAAAGCCCTCCCCAAGTCGATCATGCAAGCCCGCCCCCACTCCCAGAGGGCCCCCGAGTCTCCCGAGGCTCCGCTGAGGCCACAGAGCCCCCTCCCTTCACTCACCTGGCCCCAAGCTGGGCAGGATGTCCCTGGGAGGGCAGGTTGGTGACTCCCCATCTGAAGAGTCTTCCTCTTGTTTAACTGAAGGCAAAATGCTGACGCCAGTTGGGGGCCCTGTGAGAGAGAGTCCCATGAAGGCCTTTCCCAGCAGCTGGCCCCAGAAGGAGACACGGCCATCCCCTAGCAGGCCCAGGACATGCTCCAGCTCCCGGGCCCAGGAAGAGGAAGCGCCACGTTCTGACCGGAGGGTAGCGGGTCCCCACCTCCAGCCCCCCAACCTCTGCCTCAGAGGTGAAAAGAGCACAGCGAAGGCCATGCCCCCAGCTCCTATGCAGGTGGTGCTAACAACTGGCCCTAAGCTTCGGGAGGTCACCCTGACGGGCCTCCAAAGGACAGAAGGTTTGGGGAGGCCCCAGGGCCCAGCGCCAGAGCAGGGACAATAAGAAGGTCTAGTCCTCTGACACCCTGGCTGAGAAGGACGGACACAGGGAGTTGGGGGGAGCGTGTCACCCATATTCAGGGGGACCCATAGCCAGTGGGGAAGATGCACAGAAGTAAACGGACAGAAAGCACCCCAGAGGCTGAATGGGCAGGCTGGCAGGAGTGGGGATGCCAAGTTAGCAAAAGAGCAGTCTGGAGACAGAAAACAAGGCTCTGGGTTATCTGCTAAATGCTCTCTGGATTATAATCCATTTTTGTGACAGGACGGACAAGAATGTTCCCTTAAACAAAAGCACAGAACACTGGGAGGGGTGACTGGAGCCAGAGCCCTCAGAGGCCTTCTGAAAGAGGACACTCAGAGGGACACACACGCTGGCACCGTGCCAGACACACGAGTCGTGCGGCTCCGCTGACGTCACGGCCCTCACACCCTGAAGGGGCCCACGCCCCCCCGCTGCACCCTCCTTCACTCTAGCCAAATTGGTGTATCTGGCCCCCAGCATACCTGAGGAACCCACACCTTTGCTCAGACTGTTCTGCTGAAAATACCCTATGTTCCCAGCAAAATGCACCTCTAAGGCCTGTCTCGGGGCCGTTTCCTGGGAAGCCTGTCCGCGCAGAGCGGCCAGCCCGCCCCCAGCCGTCTCTTCCGCCCTCGAGCTGCAGCGCTTCTCAGGCCATCTGTCGGGTCATGCTGGCACGGCTGCCCAGCGGCCCTCACTCACCAGTGCCCGTTTCCGGCGGGGTCACCCTTGTTTCCCAGTCTTGCTGGTGCTCCAGGGCCTGATCTTCTTTTGGCTCCTCCTGGGCAGGGCTGACCAGGCTGGGGATCTGCTCTGGGTACGCAGGAAGGCCTGGGGAATGCAAATCGGTGACTCTAAGGGCGACACAGAGGCCTCCCAGGATGCTGGGGAGTGACTAACTGCAGTCACCTGGTGCATCAGGTCAGCCACAGGGTATGACAATGAAGTGAACCTCACTGATGGTCTAGTAACTAGATTCCAGGCTAAAGAGAAAAAGAAACGGCACATATAGCATGTGAAGTTATCCGACAGGATCATGACACACAGGACCAAAGATCTGGCTTTTTTTAGGGAGTCCTGGCTCGAGACAGTTTGACAGCAGTTCCCAATCCCAAGTCCTCCAGCGGGCTGCTGTATACAGATGCCCTGGGGAGCACCCCCAAGATTCCCATCAGTGAGTTCTGGGTGGCCCTAGGAAATACGCATTTTTAAAAAAAGCTTCCAAAGGGAAGAGACATGAATATTTCACAGAATGAAAAATTAAAATGGCCCATAAACAAATAAAACTACACTGGTACCACAGCCAGACAGACACTACAAGAAAATTACAGACCGATATTCTTTACGAACATTGATGCAAAAACCCTTAACAAAATGCTAGCAACCCGAATTGGACAGCACAGTAAAGAGATTAAATAGCATAACCAAGTGGGAATTTATTCCTGCAATGCAAGGATGGTTCAACATGTGAAACTAGACCAATGGAATACACCACACTGAGAATGATGGGGAGAAAAATAAAATACACATGATTATCTCAGTTAAAGCAGGAAAAGCATCTGACAAAATTCAATATCCTTTTATGAAAAAAAATTAAGAATAGAAGGAAACTACCTCAATATAATAAAAGCCTTAATAAGATAGAAATTCAAATAATATGCTATGACATAGATGAACCTTGATGATGTTATGCTAAGTGAAATAAGCCAGTCACGCAAAGACAAATACTCTATGATTCCACTTACATGAAGTACTTACTGAGAGAACTCAAATTCATAGGGACAGAAAGGAAAATCGTGGTTGCCAGGGGCTGAGAAAGGGAGAGAGTTATTGTTTGATGGAACAGAATTCCAGTTTGATGAGATGAAAGGAGTAAGAGATGAATGTTGGTGATGGCTGCACAACATGTGAATGCATTTAGTATCACTGAACTGTACACTTGGAGTTAATATGGTCAATCTTATGTTATACGTATTTGATTAAAGTAAGAAAAAAAGTGCTAATACACAGTACAATATAGATGAACTTTGAAAACATCATGCTAAATGAAAGAAGACAGACGTGCAAGATCATGTGTTATATGATTCTATTTATATGAAATGTCCAGAATCAGCAAATCTAGAGAGTCAGAAAGCAGGTTTGTTGTTGCTAGGACTAGGGGGCTTGGAAGGGGTTCAGGTGATAGCTGAAAGACACAGGGTTTGTTTCTGAGGTGACAAAAAATGTTATAAAATTGACTGTGGCTGCACTTATCTATGAATATTCTAGAAACCACCGAAAGTGAAAGTGAAAGGGGGCTTTCCTTATACCTCAGTTGGTAAAGAATCCGCCTGCAATGCAGTAGACCCCGGTTTGATTCCTGGGTCAGGAAGATCCACTGGAGAAGGGATGGGCTACCCACGTTAGTATTCTTGGGTTTCCCGAGTGTCTCAGATGGTAAAGAATCCACCTGCAATGCTGGAGACCTGGGTTTAATCCCTGGGTTGGGGAGATCCCCTGGAGAAGGGAAAGGCTACCCACTCCAATATTCTGGCCTGGAGAATTCAAGTCAGATGCAACTTTCACTTTCACTTTTACTGAACTGTATGCTTTAAAATGGGTGAACTGTATAGTCTGTGAATTATTTCTAAAAAATCTATTTTTTTAAACTACACTTACCTATTCCTTACCTATCACGCAGACTAAAATCCTACAAGTCTGACCACATTCCCTAGTGGCAAGGCTGTGGGGAAAGAGGCCCTCTTTCACAACACTGATGGGAATGTAAATGATACAACATCTTATGTGTCTGAATGCCATTGAAGTTACATCAAAATGACCTAAAGGTCAACTTGAAGGGGTTCCCAAGAGCCAAGAATGGGACAATGTAAGCATGAAAATAATGGTTGCAAAGGACTGCATGTATAAAATATTCACCTACAAAGTTATAATAATAAAAAAAGGAAGAAAGAAAAGCCCAAGTATTGGTCACCTTTGGAGGCTTCTAAGGAAGCAACTCTTCATTCCAAAAATTGATGAAAAGAAATATTTAAGCGACTAATCTGCCTTTTCTGTACAGACTATATTTCAAGGTAATTAAAAGAGCTGGTTAGGGAAATTATTCTTTACAAAAGAATTTCAGCTACTAGGCGCGATGCCCGCATGCTTAGTCGTGTCTGACTCTCTGTGACCCCCTGGAATGCAGTCTACTCGGCTCCTCTGTCCATGGAATTTTCCAGGCAAGGATGCCGAAGTGGGTTGCCATTTCCTCCTTCAGGGTATCTTCCTGATGCAGGGATTGAACTTGCATCTCTTGCACTTTCTGCATTGGCAGGTGGATTCTTTACCACTGTACCACCTAGGAAGCCCTCAGTTCAGTTCAGTCACTCAGTCGTGTACGATTCTTTGCGACCCCATGCCGGAACCTAATAGGGAATTAGGTGCCAAAGTAATGGCCAAATTTCACCATTTTACAACCCTAATTCAGTAACGAATCCAGGCAAGTCTTCAATGGCCATGGAACTCATTAGGTGAAAAGTTGATGGGGACTTTTATAATAGGAGGATAAAAGCTGATAATCACAAAAAGAAAGGCAACCAAGTAAGACCTGAAACTATAAGACTCCTAGTAGAAAACAAAGGCGGTAAGCTCCTTGACATCAATTTTGGCAAAGATTTTTTTTGGATTCAATATAAACAAAGGAACATCAAACTAAATATAAACAAATATAAACAAGGGGAAACACATCAAACTAAAAAGCTTCTACACAGAAATGGAACCATCAACAAAATGAAAATGCAACCTACTGAATGAAACTATTTGCAAATCATTCACCTGATAAGGGGTTAAGATCCAAAATACATAAAGAACTCACACAACTCAATAGCCAAAAAAAATTCAATTAACATTTGAAGATCTGACTATCTGAATAGACATTTTTCCAAAGAAGATGTACAGATGGGCAGCAGGCACATGAAAAGATGCTAAACATCACTAACCATCAGGGAAAAGCAAATCAAAACCACAATGAGACACCTTACATGTCAGAATAGCTATTTTCAAAAAGACAAGAAATGACAAGGATGTGGAGAAGAGGAAAACTTTGCACTCTGTTGGTGGGAATGTAAAATGTTTCAGCCACAAGGGAAAACAGTATAGGGGTTCCTTGAAAAATTAAAAATAGAACTACCATAAGATCCAGCAATGTAGGTTTTTTTCCAAAGAAAATAAAAACATTAACTTAAAAAGATCACTGCACACTGCGGCATATTTACAATAGCCAAAATATGAAAATAACTTGAGGGTACTGATAGATGAATGGATAAAGAAAATGTGTGTGTGTATGTCTATGTATATATATACACATATAAATATAATGGAATATTATTCAGCCATAAAAAAGAATGAAATCTTGTCATCTGCAACAAACTTTAGGGTATTTTGCTAAGTGAAGTAAGTCAGACAGAGAAAGTGATCTCACTCATACATGGAATCTATTAAAAACAAACAAAGATGGAATAGGAAATGGTAGCCTACTCCAGTATTCTTGCCTGGAAAATGCCATGGACAGAGGAGCTTGGCAAGCTACAGTCCATGGGGTCGCAAAGAGTCAGCCGCAACTGAGCACGTCAGCACATACCATGATCTAAAATGGTTGTTTCCTTTTGTATTCCTACCAGAAGAGTTTGGGACTTCCAATTCTTGCATATCCTTGCCGATATGTTTAGTCTTTTAAAATTTTTGACCTTTTTAATAAATGTATAGCAGTAGGGAAAAAAAACAAAAAAAAACTACAAAGAGGGGCTTCCCTGGTGGTCCAGTGGTCAAGAATCTGCCTGCCAATGCAGGAGACACGGAGACACACAGGATGGATCCCTGATCCAAGAAGATCCCACATGCCACAGAGCAACTAAGCCCCTGCATCACAACTACTGAGGCAGCACTCTAGAGTCTGTGAGCTACAACTACCAAGCCCACCTGCCCCAACTACTGCACCCAAGCACCCTAGAGCCTGTGCTCCGTGATAAGAGAAACCACCGCATTGAGAAGCCCACGCACTGAAACTAGCGAGCAGCCCCTTCTTGCTGCAACTAGAGAAAGCATGCATGCAGGAACAAAGACCCAGCGAAGCCAAAAATAAATAACTAAATAAATCTTCAAACAACAAACAAAAACAAGATCACAGATACAGAGAACAGATTGGGGGTTGCCAGAGGTGAGGGGTAGTGGGTAGGTAGAATGGATGAAAGCAGCCAGAGCGTGGCCTACCCTGAGATAAGGGGCCTGCACTCCTTCCTGGCCTCACAGTGTGGGAAGTGCAGGAGGGCGGGGACACACGTGGACTGTTCCCAGCCCCGGCCACGCCCCTACTCACCAGCGCCTGGCCTCTGGGGGCACGCTTCCTCTCTCTCATTCCCTTCCTCTCCGCCCCACAGGCCTTCAGGACAAGGCTCCTCTCCCCTCTCCATCCGGGTGAGGATGTCCGGCTTGGAGATGGCATAATCTGTGTGCAGAGTAGAGAGAGAGCTGGGTCAAGACTGAACACACGCCACTCAGGTGCCCAGAGACACCGCGACACCTGGAGAAACAGAAGCCAAAGCTGCGACACAGCCTGCAGGAGGCCCACCTGTGGACAGGGGCCCGGAGCATCATCTAGACAGCCTTACCCAGGGAGACCAGCATCTCGTAGTTGCCCCTCATCACGTGCTTGTACAGCTCTTTCTGCCACTCGTCCAGCTTGCCCCACTCCAGCTCAGAGAAATACACGGCCACGTCATCAAAGGTCACGGGCACCTGGAACCACAGGGTCACGCAGGCTCACCCGCACGCCGACGGCAGGGGCCGCGGGCTGTCCCACCCCCGGTGCCCAGGGCTTACCTTGGGGGCCTCGCCCTTGCTGCCGGGGGGCAGCCGCAGGATCCAGAAGTTCCTGTTCCTCAGCAGATTCTCCACGTTCTCCAGCCGCCTCTGCAGCAGCCCGTACTCCTGCAGCAGGGTCCCCAGCACGGCCCACTTGCCCTCCAGCTGGTTCCCGAACTCCACGGCCGTCTTCTCACAGTCGGCCAGTTTCTTCTCAGCCGTCCCCGTCCGCCCCTCCAGAGTCAGCAGGCGGGTCAGGCAGGAATCCACCTTCTTCTCCACGGCCTGGATGGCGGCCACCACGGTCCACAGTGTGATCTCCGTGGAGTAGAGGTAGGAGTTCTCAGCGGCCGGCTGGGGTGATGGAGAAGGAGTCGAAGGCCTTTCATCCCCTGTTGGCCTGTCCCTCTCTGGAGCCTGTCCAGCAAAAGCAAGGGGAGATATGATCACAATTGTCCAGTGAGATGTCCATCTCAAAGAGAAACCTCAGGATGGCACCTGCCCAGGTGAAGCCCCACCTGGGATCCTGAGGACCCAGCAGGAAGCGGAGGGGATCCTCAAGGACAGGCTGGACCAGGGTGTTAGCAATTGGGAATCAAGAGGAAAAAGCATCTGTCACCTCGCACAGGTGACTTCCCTTCCTGGTCTCGATCTCCTCCTGACACTCAGAAGCTTGGTGGCACTGGTACTAGTCACGAGCTGGCTGAGCTCTGCAAAGTTTATTATGCATTTCAACTCCAACCCCACATCTGTAAAATCAGGGTAATAATAATACCTACATGATGGGATTGTGAGAATTAATGATACTGTCTTAGTAAAAAGCAATTAACATGATGCCCAATGGGGCAAATACTCAATAATTAACGTGAGCCCTGTGTTGTTGAAAACGAGGAGGATGTTGAGCTGACGCTGGGTCCAACTCAGGGGTGCAGTAAGTCGTTCACATGGCCTTTCCATTCCACCCTGTTCATTACATTGTCCTTCAGTGTCTTGGGGGCTTCCCTGATAGTTCAGTTGGTAAAGAATCTGCCTACAATGCAGGAGACCCCAGTTCGATTCCTGAGTTGGGAAGATTCGCTGGAGGAGGGCATGGCAACCCACTCCAGTCTTCTTGGGCTTCCCTTGTGGCTCCGCTGGTAAAGAATCAGCCCACAGCACGGGAGACTCGAGTTTGGTCCCTGGGTTGGGAAGATCCCCTGAAGAAGGGAACGGCTACCCACCAACTCAATGAACATGAGTTTGAGTAAGCTCCAGGAGTTGGTGATGGACAGGGAAGCCTGGCGTCTTGCAGTCCATGGGGTCGCAAAGAGTCAGACACGACTGAGCAACTGAACTGAACTCACTGTCTTAGAAATGAGCTTCTGAAGTGCCTCAGCTGACCTTGGGGCCTGATGACCAGGCCTCAGCCCCAGTTTGTCTCACTAAAAGCCTTGCTGGGCAGAGGGACCACTTCACTCCTTCACTGTACTCATCCCCACGGTCAGATCACCATCAAGTCCTATCTGTGCAACTTCTGAAACTATCTCAAGTCCATCCTTTTCTCTCCTCCTCTGCCATGACTAGTCCAAGCCCCAGTCACCTTTCCTCGGAACTGTTGCTACTCTGCCTGGTTGGCTTCCCCAGTTCACCCTTCTTCCCCCACAATCCATTTCCCACAGGGTGACCAGTAATCTTTTAAATACACAGACTAGAGCATTTTAGTCCCCTGACTGATAGCTTCCCGGTGTACCCAGAATAAAATCTAAATGTCTTATCATATCCCAGCCTACCTCCTTGACCTTATATCCTCCTGGGTATTAACTACAGGCCAGCTCCCCTAACCTCCTGGGATCCTTAGGATGTACCTGGCTCTCTCCTCCCCCTTTGCCTGAGAGCTTCCCTCACGCCTCTTTACGCCTGGCTCCCCCTTCTGTAAGACTCCAGCTTAAACACTGCCTCACAGAGACCTTCACCAACTGACACATCTCAACTAGGTCCCTGCTAGCCCTTCCTTCACAGCACTGATAATCCATGATCGCGCCGTGTTGTTCCCCATGAGGACATAAGATCCATGGGACATCAGCTCCATGAAGGTATATTATTCACCGTTGTATTCCCAGCTTTGAAAACAGTGCCTCATTCATAGCAGATGCTCGGTAAATGCCCACTGAATGAGTGAATGACTACACAATTAAACACGTTCATTCAATAACAATGACTAAATACCTGTCAACAGCAAAGGTACAATGGGGATGCAGAAAAAAATTATGTGGTTCTTCCTTGTGCTGGAGAAAAGTTATGTACCTAGACAGTCAAATTAACAGTGTGATACCAGGGGCTAATGAAAGTTGAGGGCAAGTCTATCCTGTTGGGCAAATGTGTTGGGGATCTCAGGTGCTGCAAGAGAGCAGGAGACAGGCAGATGAGAAGGGCCAGGAGAAGTGCTGAGAAAGTGGTCCTGGGCTAAGTGGGAGCTGAAGAGGACACTTGTAGCCCCAGGGAAAGGACTTGCTGGGGGCTTCCCCCAGGGAGCAGGGCTGTATGTCCCAGGAACCTCCATCCTCTTTTTTGCCCTTGCACTCAGAGAGCCCTTAAACACACACACACACCAAACTCACTGAAGAGGAAAGAAAAAGAAAGTGAAAGGAAGTCGCTCAGTTTTCACTCTGACTCTTTGTAACCCCATGGACTGTAGCCTACCACGCTTCTCCGTCTATGGGATTTTCCAGGCCAGAGTACTGGAGTGGGTTGCCATTTCCTTCTCCAGAAGATCTTCCTGACCCAGGGAGGATTGAACCCAAGTCTCCCACATTGCAGGCAGATGCTTTACCGTCTGAGCCACCAGGGAAGTCCTCCTTAAGGAAAGGAAAGTTCCTCCTTAAAAAGTATCCAAAATAATCAGCATCTAGAAAAACCAAGACTTCAAAAACCTTGTTAAGATGTATTAATAATGACAGATATGCATTGATGGCGCAGTGGTAAAGAACCCGCCTGCCAACGCAGGAGACGGAAGAGAGGCTGGTGGGATCCCTGCATCAGGAAGACACCCTGGAGAAGAAAATGTCAACCCACTCCAGTATTCTTGCCTGGAGAACCCCATGGACAGAGGAGCCTGGTGGGCTACAGTCCACGGGGTCACGAAGAGTCCGACACGACTGAGAGACTCAGCACGCGTGCACGGTGGATTGAGTGCTTCACAAACGTTTTTCTACTAGGTCCAAAAAAAAAAAACGCCAAAAGGTTATTTTCTCCAAACTGGACACACTGTATATTATCAGCCAACATTCCAGTATCTGCTCATCTTTTATAAACCACAACAAAAAACAAAAACACCCGCCTACAAGCCCTGCAGCAAACAGCACTCAACACTCTCTCTTTGCTGTCAGCGCACGTGTGCACCCGAAAGGGGACCAACTCCGGGTGGGCGTCAGGCTCTGGCCTCGACTCGGTGGGCAACTCTGGGCGCGCCCCGACCCCCAGCCTCAGACAGAACCGATGGGACCGGGGTGCCTATCCGGCCTCCCCGCCCCCCCCCCACACCCCGGCCTGTCTCCAGGCCGCCGGGCCTCCAGTGAGACAATGGACGGGAGGAGACCGCCACTCGGTTCCAAGACGAGGGCTTGTCATCTTAAATGTGACCGCAAAGTCGGGCCAGTCTCCCGACGTCGGGGCCGCCCACCCACCGCGCACGGCCTGGCGTTTGGGCCGCCCAAGGCGCGGCCGGGACGAGGGCAACCGGGCGGCCTGAGCGGGCCGGACGCGCGGGCGCGGCGCGGAGGCGGCGGAGAGGAGGCCGAGCCGCGAGCCGCTCGGGGCGCCGCCCGGACGAGACCCTCGCGGGCCCACGCGGCGGCCCGGGGCGGCTGGGCGTGCGCGCGTGGGGCGCTTACCGGGGCGGGCGCCGCTTCGGCCATGGCTGCCCGCGTCCCTCGCTCCGCGGCTCTCCTGGGGCCGGCGCGGCGCGGCGCGGCGGCGGCGGCGGCGGCGGAGCGGAGCCGCCCAGCCTCGGAGCTCCTGCCGGGGCGGCCGCGAGCTGCGTCCGAGCCACGTGCCCCGCCGGCCCTTTAAACAAGAGCTGCGCTCGCGGCCGGGCCGGAGGCCACGCGCAGCGCCCCCTGCAGCCCGAAGGACCGCACGCCCGCGGCCTTCGGTGCCCACCCGCCCCGGGCGGCCGCGGGGGTCCCGCCGGGCTGCCCGCCCTCTCCTGGGCCGCGGGAGTCGACGCCGGGGCCGCACGCGCCGCGGGGCCCACCGGCCAGGCTTCCGTCGGGCGGAGCCAATCCTCGGGCCCGGGCCGGGCGGGGTGCTTGGGGGTGGGGGGTGGATTCCAGCCAGTAAGCTAACAAAGGAAACGCGCTGGAAACTTCGAGGCTTTGGGGTAAGACGCTCAGTCATCGCCGGGTGACCTCAATTGTGTATGCACTTGATCTGCCGTTTTAACACCTCTAATGGACCCCAAATAACTGTTAGTTTGGGTATACATTTTGCGCGGGGACAGCCAAGGTGGAGTGGGAGGGATCGATTAAGTATTTTTAAACTTTTATTAGTTTTCCGGAATAAAGAGAAGGATCTCAAGAAAACTGCATTTCGTTGAACAAACCAACCCTGCCTCCTTCGTTCCCTTTGGGGATCCAGGGTTTCCTCCGCCTTCCCGGGGCCGCCTTCCCAGCAGGTACCGGCTCGAAGGCCCTCTCTGCCACACCCAGTTGCCCGTCAGCTACCAGCTGGGGGTCCTCTGGATGCAGAGGACTAAATCCACCACTAACTCAGGCCCTGAGGCATTTGGAATAAACGACTCAATCTGGGACCTGTTTTCCTTTCATCTGCAACCCACAGAGCCTTACTCTGGAAAACCACTTAATCACCTAATCTAAACTTAAACGGGCTTCCCAGGTGGCTCAGCGGGAAAGAATCCGCCTGCAAAGCAGGAGAACCGGGTTCCACCCCTGGGTCGG